ATGCGCGTGCGCACTGCGGCTGTCCGGCCGCCGTGGGGCGGGGCGCGGGCGGCGCGTGCGCAGGGGCATCTTCTCCCTTGCTCTCCCCTCCCTAGGTGGCAGTTAACGGTCGCGCGGCTATGGCGTCGTGGGGGAACTTTGACCGTGGGCCTTTTGGGGTAGAAATAGGGGCGGCCCCTGCTCTCGGGTAGTGCCCAGCTCTGGAGGGGAAGCGGCCTGAGCTGTTAGGCCGGCCTAGGAGATGAGTAAGGCCCTGCCCGGCTGCCCACTAGAAAGGGAGCTGTGCCTGCACTGTCCTCGCAAGTGACGCGAGAAGCTAATGTCGGTGCCGCCTTTCATCTTGAGAGCGGTGTGGTAGCTCACAGAATGAAGCACGAATCCATCTGGGGTGCCTGGGTGCATCTCGGCAGGAGCTTAGTAGCTGCTTTCCCGGTTTCTAGTGAAATCTAGGGGATGTTCTTCAGGCAGGCAGACTGCACGGGCTTGTCTGTGCAGCTTGTCATCATTAGCTTTGGGTAGCATAGTGGAATCTAGCCCTCAGCCTACAGCAGTGTTTAAACCCTGACCCTCCCCCCCCCCCAAAAAAAAAAAAAAAGTTACTGTGACTTCAAAATGCCTTGTTAGAAATTTTAAGTCAGCACATTTTGAAAAGCAGCCTAGAAGTGTCATAAGTAATTAAATGGAACCTGGTTTATGAAGAATTGCTTTGATCTGTTACTTAGCTGTCAGAAGGAGGTGTGTCTGCTGCTGAAATGTGAGCTGCAAACAGTGTTACCTATCAAGTATGCATAGGTACTGATGTTTATGTTCTGATTTATTTAGTATCATTTTATGCTTTGTGATGCTCTCTCGGGGAAGGATTATATATGTGTTGATATGTTAATATAGACATTAAAGTGATCCTGAACTTCGGATAATAATGCTTGACAGTCTCTTGTCTTGTTGCCATGAAGATGCTGTTGTTATTTATTTAGTGTTTCTATCCATGATTCTCAGCTTATTTGAAAAAAAAATAGATTAGGAGTCTATGGCATATTACAGAAAGAGGTCAAGTAGCTACATATTTCCCTGTGAGGCTTTTGTAGTTGTGCATAACTGAATCAGTGCAGTCAAGTGCTCAGCATTTCTGAGTAGCTTGATGCAGTTCCCTTTATGTGCATGTCATGCTGTTCTACCTGTATTTCCCTTTATTGTTGTCACTGACACATACACTTAAGAGGATTTCATCTAATACTACAGAAAATGCTGCATGATCGGTGCTGCTTTCTATTTTGTGACAGGTATAATTGTCAAAGTAGGGAGCAAATTCAGTAACTAAGTCTCAGGGTAGCTAAGGAGGAAAGAATATTTATGCTGCTGATGTCAAAACTTTGCCTTCCTTTGCATTTATGTCCATTCCTGCCCTGGAAGCTCACGAACCTCTGCACTGCAGCATGCCATGGCTTGCAGGCTCAGCACTGATATGATAAGCAACTACCCAGACCCTGCTTCCTTCAACTTTTATAGCAGGGAAGCTAATAATGGCCACTAAGCACTGTGCTGTGTCACATTCTAAGATAACTTTTCAAATTTCAGCTCTTTGTAAAATATTTTCATTACATTGTTGTGGATAACTTAGTATCAGGTCGAAGAATGCAAACCTGATGCCTTTTTGCTGCTTTTAGCTCCTGCGTCACTTGTCCCTGCAAACCCAATACTGTAAAGCTGGAACAACCAACTCTGGATTAGAAACTTAATACCTGATGGGAGCAGAGCACCAAGAAACATTTCAGCTGTTAAATCTGGAATAGACTCAGTGGAAACCATGGAAAATAGCAGCAACATTTTAGGCCTCCGAAGGCTCAGATCCAGAGTTCTGTAAAGACGCGTCTCAGCTGGCACTTTAAAGGAAACATCAGTTATGCAGTTATATATGAATTGTCCTTCTGCTTCTAGTTTTATTTTCATTGTGAAAACGTGCTGATACATAACATTTGTGGCTCTCTAAATGCACTGCCTTAGCTTATATGGCCAAGATCATTGCTGTGTAAAATGTCAGATGGGGAGAAAGGTCAGTATTGCTTTTTTTTCTCTTTGTTTTCTTGCTTGCTTCGTTCTTACTCCTTCCCACCTTCCTATCTCTCTTACATGAAATGAAAGCGATAGCGCTGCTTAGTGCTTTGATACTTGCAAATCGCAAGCAGAGCTCCTCTTTTCACAACTCTTAGGCAGATGCCTGCTTGAAGAAACTAGAGAAGGAGCCCTCAGGAAAAGCACAGCTACTGCGCAGAGAAACGTGAGGTGGAATCTGTGAACAGCATGAGCCACCTTAAAACTCATCTTTTAAGCATAGAATCCATATAATAATAAAGCTTCTGGGAAGCCTGCAGTGTAGGGCTGGAGAGGCTGAGGAAAAGATTGAAATCTGGTTTCTTGCAGCTGACCGAGGAAAAGGTTAAAACAGTGGCAATAGACACGTGATCTGATGTCGCGGCTAATCTCACCTGGTGACCAGCTATCGTCAAAAAGGGCGGTCGTGCTTTATGACCCTGTGTTCTGTCTTCTCCCACCCCTATGTGGGTATTGGGACCTAGCTGATGTGCTTCAGGAAGCCGAGTGGTAGAAAACTCCCCTTGGTGTCTGCAGGGTTAATTTTCTGCTGGTTTAGCTTTCTGAAGTGTCTGGGGGACATCAGACAGGTGCTCCTGCTAACACAAGTCAGGGTGATGGGGATGCTTAGCAAGTGAGAAAAGTCCTTTTTATGCAGCAGCTGGCTGTTAGGCTGTGTTATCTGTACCCTCTGCATACATCTAAAGGGTTTATAACAGCAAGTGTTACAAATTTCTACACTGAAAGGAAGGTGTGATAGATACTGCAGTAGGAGATAATAAATTCTGATTTCTGGTTTTGTTTTTCCTTAGGAAAAAGTAGTTGGCAAAATCCCTCTGTTTAATATAGCAACTGCTAGACTGGAGAATATGGATAAAGTTTAATCAGTTCATGTGTCCTAGCACTGACAAACAGTTGTGAAAGTGAGTCCTCAGTGTCCTGCATTCTCAATTTCCCGTTCCACTGGGGTGGTGAAGACTGTTTGCTAATGCTTCGATGGCATTAGGCTGGTGAGGGGTATCACAGGGGCTGTGTAGCTAGCTGGCTACAGATGTGGGTAAAAATAGAGAAAAGCTGCTTCAGAAAATCGTAAGATTTTTTCTTAAGCTTTTCACTTAATATGAAGGAACGTTGTTTTAGAAAGGCCTCAGTGCTGCATGTGACATTTGACTGTTTACAGAAAAAAAAAATCTCTTTGTTGGCTCTTGGTCCTGACTGGGGATACACAGAAAAGCAGCTGGAAGTTCATTATTTATGATTAAGTATTTTTTCCTTTTTTTTAAACCCCCGTCTCCTTAATGGAATACATTTATGATTTTGCAAGAAATCATTTCAATGCCAAAGAACAAACATATAAATACAAATCTAATGTATTTTTTTATAAAATATGCTGGATCATTTGAACCTGAAATCTGAACATTTCATGGAACAAGATCTTGAAAGACTTATTAGAAAATTAAACAAAAACTTATTTTCATCTTGTAACAGGATTGTAGGCTTAAGAGTTTCACCAAGGTTGTCTGTTAGTGAAATTTATAAAGAACAGTTTCACAGTGGGATAGCCAGCAGTGCCTTTTCATACCCGTGTGTGAAGCATCGTTAGAAAATAGCAAGGAGAACTGATGACACTAGTCCTGAATATTTTTTATGCTATAAGGTTAATTTAATGATTTACAGCAGCTACTGTCTGTAATTATGACATGCATGAGACAAAAAGAAACCTGAAAAGCTAGCAGGGGAGTTCTATGAAGAAATACAGTAATAATTTATAAATGCTCTTTTCATGTTCAAGTCACAGAGAAACTCTGATCTTTTATGTGTCAAGGATGGGTAGAATTGTGTTTAACTACTGTCAAAAAGTGATCATTCTGAGGCATCATCCAGTTAATAAGCCACAGATCTGTTCTATTACATCTCTTACACAACTGTTTGGGTACAATTTTTATCACCATAATCCTTGATGGATCAGCAACTTAGCAAGTTTTATGCAGGTTTGCTGGAAACTTATCCCTATGCTGAAGAAAATACATTCTATAAGAAAAAGGGAGTTTGACCATTAGTCTTTTTCTTTTTCTTTTCTTTTTTTTTTTTTTTGATATATTCTAGAAACTTCTCCCCCAAATCCTGCAGGTCTGGCAAATTGACTTTTTTTTTTTTTTTCCCAGAGACTGAACGAGAAATTATTTTTCAAGCAACTTTATTAGGAAGAACTTTACACATGTGGGGTAACGTGAGAGGAAAGCATAACAACAGATGTTTGCTGATTCCTGTTATTCAGTGGAGGATTAAGTGTAGTGTCTTGGAGTGTATCTGGTCTTACCAGTTACTGAAAACTAAGTAGCTTTGTTAGATAATTATTCGATTAAAGATTGAAACGTATTTAGACTGTGCCTACTCTATGACGTATCATATTTCTCAGTAGTCTAAGTCTATTTAAACTGTTTCACACACACACGCCAGTCTACTGTTCATATTGTAAAATCCTGTTGCAACAAATACATAAATGGTTAGTTTAATTCAAGGAACTCATGAAGGAAAGCTAAACATCTACCTAAGATTTGGGCCAAGGTTTGTTATAGTTCTGACTATAGGGGATCTGTCTGCACACTTTATATGACTATACTGCATTTGCAATACAATGAAGAAATTAATATTTAAAATGCAAAAGAGCTGAAGTACAGGGAGTGGAAAAAAGACAAATCTGTTTCAGCACAACATCATCAAAACAACTTTGGAGACTGCAAAGAGGCATCACAATTTGGTGATACGTGGGTTCAAAATTCAGAAGTTAATCTAACCAAGTATCAGGATACAGTCAAGCATATCAAACATATCAAAAAAGTAGCAAAGCTGCGCAAGTTGGCACCATGGTTAGTCCTCTCAGTATACGGCAGGTGTAGGATGTAGACTGGACTGCAGATAGAACTGCTGCTTCCCTCTTTCACCTTTGAAAAAGTTTATCTAGAGTAAAGTGTGTTTACTCGGTACTGCTGCGGCGCTTGCGTTGGTGCTTATGCTCTTTTACCTCCTGCATCAAGTCCTTTTCACAGTTACCTGCTTCCAGCATGTTTGAATCACATTCCACACTTACAAGCTGATGGTCTTGGGACACGACGTTTAAGAGCACTTTCCACTTGCATGCTGTTTGCTCAGTGGGTGGGTAGTTCAATCTTATTTATATTGTAAAAGTAGTTTTCTTGCTGGAAGGTGGAGAGTCTATGCTTTTAATTTAACCTCTTCAAGCTATCACGAAAAGAATCTTGAAGAAAAACAGTCAAACAAAACCCATGATATTCTTTATTTTTATTATAATTTTAACAATATGGGTAAATTGAAATCTGTAAGCAAAGCAATTACATGAGGAAGGTCTAATAAAGTTGTTCAAGCTACAACCTACTTTGACTGTCGAATCAAACTGAATAAAGCAGGCTGTTCTGATGGGTTTTTAGCTTCCAGGAACATACTTGGCAGTGACATCTTCTTCTGCGTTGAATGGCAATGTTGTCTTCTTCATGCTAGCAATTTCAGAATCAGCTGAAAATAAAAAGGTCAAATTGCTCACTACTACAGATGGGAAATGTGCTGAATCAAACGCTGTGTTCAACAGGTGAAATCTTACCAGATTCAACAGGATTTGATGGGCAGCAGAAAACAATTGTTGTATACTGTATTTTATTTCTAAATGAGTAGAAAATTTACCTCTGGACAGGAGAGTAAGTCAAAATCTGTGCATCATGTGACTCCATGACTAATGGTGATTAAGTATCTTAAAAGTAATTAAAAAAAAAAAAAGAACCCAAATATTATAAATGCGCCTACTGGTTATGCCCAGAGGACATGGGCCAAATTGTCCTCAGACTCCAGGGGGTACCATGTGCTTAGAATAAGACCTTTCTCAGAATCATAGCTTTAATATTTGGACTGCACGGTGGGAGGAAGAGGGAAGGCATCACGTTCCCCAGACATGGGACACATAGCACAGTTTCTTACAGCTGTTAGTGTAGCACAGATGCTGCAGTAGCTTTGTAATTTCTCACTTAGGCACTTTCTCCAAGCCCAACTGTCTACCTCCTCGCTTTATTTAACACAAGAGCTACCCTGGTCTTTCAGTTCCTCTCAGAGCACGTGTTGGCTGTGTTCACAGTGTGCTTGTTTTTTTAATGAGAAGTACCTGCTTTGTTCTCCATCCAGAAGACAGTGATATGCAGCGATGTCCTTCTCCAGCTGTTGTTTGCTGCTCAGCAGATTGTCACGATCCCGCTGCTGCTGCTCCGTTTCTACTTTGATTTCCCCCATCTCTGCCTCCAGCTTGGAAATGACAGAACCTAGGTTCTGCAGTTCGATGTCATGCCAATGCTTAGCATCATATAAAGAGTTCTCCAGACCCCTTTTCTATAAGAGCAGAACATCACAAGTCAAAACAATTGATTTTCATAGCCTTTGTAGTAAGTTTGATTTAGGTTTAGCTATTGGATCTGTTTTATATGTTGAAGTAGAGATTTAATATTCTGAGATTCCTTTCTTTAGATTTACTGATAAAGTATCTACCATAATACAGATATTGGGCTGTTCTTCTTGGTCCTGATGTTCTTCATAGTCTAGATTCATAGTCATATTCTTCATACTCTCAGCAGTCTCAATAGAGTTTATAAGCAAGGTCAGTGTGAAAACATTAAAGACTGAAATTGCAGAGCCAATTTTCAAATGTTCTGCACTCAGTGCACCACATGAGTAAGAGTCCCAAAATGTCTGGCGTCTCTGGAAACAATAGCCTTTTTAAAAGGGATTTCTGCCTAACTCTGCATCCTAAGAAGGAAGTGTTCACCGCAAAATGGACATTGAATTCAGAGAAGAATATACCCATTGAAAATCAACATTACTTACCAAAGTTCTTAAAGATTCGGTTTCTGCTTGCAAGCTCTGTATTTTGCAGGCAGTTTCATGGAACTCTGTTCTTAGGCCCTCCACCAGTTCTTCCTCTTGGGTTCGTTCAGCAGCTGTTGGTTCGGCCTGTTGCTGGTAAGAGAGAACAACTGCTGCTAAGAGAGAACAACTATTTTATTTTGCTTACATCTTCAAATGACAGTTAATATTTTCGTAGTTTGTGGCAGTTGTTCTGATTTAAAGTTTGATTCTGCTATATTGAATAATGTTGGGTAACTTTTAGTGTCAAAATTGTCATATTTTCTATACATTTACTTTAAAAATAGTTTTATCCATATAAAGGGAAATGTTTTATCTATGTCCACAGAAACTGTTCAGCATTCATTCAGTAAATTTTTAAATGACTTGTAAAGGGAAAACATTGCTGTAACTCATCTTCTCTTTACAGCATATTGTAAACATTTTTAGAAATAAGTGTTTTCACTTAGTTTTAATTTAATTTAATTTAATTTTGTTTCAGAAGTAAGTTTTTTTTTTCTACCTTATTCCCATAGGATTCTGTGAATCAGTGAAGAAATCACATCACATCACAGAGGCCAGAAAAATAATCTCTTGTTAATTAAATTAAGATTATTCAGTTTTGTGCTTTTAGTGCATGTGATTTCTAATGTACGTTTTAATTCAAGTGCCTTGAAAATGGGTAAAGAAAAAGATACTTTAACAAATATAGAATGTCTATGCTTTTTTAAAGAGATCTGAGGTCAAGATTTTCAATCCAAAGCACTGGGATCTCTAGCAAATATGATTCTTTGGTCAAAAGCTGTATTTCTTTTTCTGGTTACCACCAATGTTAAACTATGCAAAATACTTCCATTCCACCCTAAACAGTCATCCCTGTTTTCCTTTTCTGATCATGCGTTCTTTTACTTTAAACATAAGGTCAAATATTTCTGGGACTATGCACCAAAAATCCTTTTTTTTTTTTTTTTTTACAATACATTGGGGTCATCTATAGAACTCTTTTTTTTTTCTTCTTTTTTTAAATAGCATGATGTGAAGCATACACATTCATCCCTGTGAATAAAATAATCTGAAGTGCAAATGGACAGGAAAGACTAACATGTCATTTAAGTACCAGTTAAAATATAATATAATGATATAATGATATAATAATATAATAAAATATAATTCAGGATTTATGAGCCTGTGCTGCACTGGGCTCAGTTTCAACCTAAAGAATAAAATGGGCCTTTTCAGGGAGTTGCACAAAGCCTGTATTTTCCAGAACTGTTCGATAGAGAGTTGCGCTTCATAGAAATATAATCCTTCCCAAATACCAGCGGACATGGATTAGTGATCACGGACTGGCCACTCTGGAGCAAATGGTGTCTGCTGAACTGCTTAGAGAGTGCAGTCTGCACGTTATTATAGCACGAGGACTCTAAGTGCCTCTTCTTTAACGAAATGTAGAGGGGAGGAAGAGAGCCTCTGTAGTTCACAGCCCACACGTGCTGCCTGAAGCCTGGCATCTCTCACTCACGTTGCCCTTAATGGCAGCCTGAATGCTGTGCAAATTCAGACTGCCTATAAATCCCTTCGCCACAGGGGATGTTGGGGCTCTTCCAGGAAGGACCCCAAACTCTTAAGGCTGCCTAACATTAGTTACCTGACTGGCACGAAGGGTGGATGGGCAGATGGAGGTGTCTGTGTCAGACCCTAACTACTGAGGATGACATAGCCAGTAAGTGCTCAGTGAATGAGCTACACAGCTTTTCGTGCACACAGGACCCAGTGAATTATGGTGCCTGCAAATAACTGCCTGCAAATAAGGATTAAGCATCCACTGAAATCTTTATCATTTTGTTGCTTGGGTTTCCTGCGAATGGCTGATTTAAAACATGTCTGTACGGTTCTTCTGAGCTAGGAGTCTAGAATCTCTTGTTAATACGTTTTTCATGGAATCAAGATAATTGATGGTTAAGGGCAGAATATAAATAGCCAGAAGGTTATGGCCTAGCATGGTCTAAGAGTTCTGGGAATGTGTTAGCAGAACATAACTCTTGAGCGTTTCAAAACCGTTTAGGAGATCTGCCATAGGAGTCTACAGGAGAAACTGGATAATCACTTGCTGAGGAAGAGCATTGTCATGGAGGAACATCTGGTCAAGAGACATCATATGAGCGGGAGGGTTATAATCTAGTTTCATCATGACAAAAGTTTAACAGCATGTTGCCCTAAGGTTTACTGCAAGAGCCCGTATTAACTAACTGAAATGTAGGTGAATCATGGACTAGAAAGATTTATGGATGTCAGAAGACTATAGAGATTAGCAACAACCAGTGGACCAGAGTTCTAAAGGTATAAAATACATCCCCAAAAAATCCCATATGAAACTACCCTCATACCTGTAGAATTTCATATATTTTGGTGCCTGAATATCCATGAAGACATTGAAGACACACAGTGAAGGTTGCAACTTCAGTCACAAGAAAAGGCAAATCAGACCAGAGAGTTGGTCAGAAAATAATGAAAACACTGCCCTGACACCTAAGCCAATGCTAACACATCATTTGAAATGGCCTGGGCTCAGCCGGTCATAGCAATGCTGAAGAGAGGGTGCAGCAAAAGCAATCAAAATGTTAGGAAGCAAAGAAAACTCAGGAAGAGAGAGGCTGAAAAAATTAGTG